CCAACTCCCCCCAACTCCCCCCCTCAAAAACGCCAAACCATCACCAGCCGCAACCTCCGCAACCTGAACCCGGCCCCCCCTCCACTCTCTGCCGCCGACTGCCTACACGACAGCATCCTCCCACTGTCATGTCCTGACATAGCCACCACCTTGTACAATGACTCACTGTCAGCTGCCCTAGACTCTCTGGCACCCCTAACCACACGCATCATCAAACCCAGACCGCTTCAACCCTGGCAGACCGACAGCACTAAACGCCTCAAACGTCGCAGTCGTGCACTGGAGAGACTGTGGCGCAAAACCAGGTCTCCTCATACTTTCTCCCTCTACAAATCTGCATTTCTTATCTACACCTCCTCCCTCCACGCCGCCAAGCAGGCCTACTTTGTTAACCTAATAAACACCCTCTCCTCCTGCCCCCGCCGACTCCCACTCAGTACCTCTCTCACCGCCCACGAGATTGCCACCCATTTCCACAACAAGATTGACGCTATCCGTAAGGACATCGTCAACTTGCAATCTACCTCCCCGCCTAGCCTCCTCGCCCCCGTCACCCCTTCATCTCCCCCCTCCTCTGCCCTCACAACCGCACTGCCCCCCTCCTCTCCCAATGCCCCGCCCACCATAACCCCCCCCCCCCGCACTGCACTCCCTCAGCCCTGTCACTACTGAGGAAGTCGCCAAAGTCCTCTCAAAAGCCCGCCTCACTACCTGCCCCCTGGACCCTATCCCCTCTCAACTCCTCCGGTCACCCCCCTCTTCCCTCATCCGCTCCCTCACCCACATCTTCAATCTCTCCCTCTCTACTGGCGTATTCCCCTCCCCCCTAAAGCACGCGCATATCACCCCCATCCTCAAAAAGCCCTCCCTGGATCCCGCGGACCCCAACAACCTCAGACCCATCTCCCTGCTGCCACTCACCTCCAAGCTCCTTGAACGCATAGTCTACGATCGCCTAAGCGCCCACCTTACAGACAATAACCTCCTTGACCCTCTACAGTCCGGCTTCCGTCCCCTACACTCCACTGAAACTGCCCTCCTCAAAATCACTAACGACCTACTCAACGCCAAAGCCAAGGGCGACTACTCTGTCCTCCTTCTCCTGGACCTCTCTGCGGCCTTCGACACAGTTGACCACCCCCTCCTCCTTAATAAACTACTCTCCCTTGGCATTGGAGATACTGCTCTCTCTTGGTTCTCATCCTACCTATCCCGACGCTCCTTCAGTGTCACCTACAATGGTGCCACCTCCCCCTCCCTCCCCCTCTCTGTTGGGGTCCCCCAAGGCTCTGTCCTTGGACCCCTTCTATTCTCCATCTACACCTTCTCCCTGGGCAAACTCATACAATCTCACGGCTTCAACTATCACCTCTATGCTGACGACACCCAAATCTACCTCTCCACCCCTCACCTCACCCCCACTATCTCCGCCCACATCACTCACCTCCTAAATGACATCTCAGACTGGATGTCGCTACATTTCCTCAAGCTCAACCTCTCCAAAACCGAGCTCCTCATCTTTCCCCCTGCCAACACCCCCCCCCCCCCCATCCTATCCATCATCGCCAACAACTACACTATCACTCCCGCCCCGCAAGCCAAAGTCCTTGGCGTCATTCTTGACGCGAACCTCTCCCTCCAACCGCATGTCAAATCACTCACAAACACATGCAGGCTCCATCTTCGCAATATTGCCAAGATACGCTCCTTCCTCACCCCAGACACCACCAAACTTCTAGTACACTCTCTCATCATCTCACGCCTTGACTACTGCAACTCCCTCCTCACTGGCCTACCCAAGTGCAGGCTCTCCCCGCTCCAGACCATCCTGAACTCAGCTGCCAGACTCATCCACCTTACCACCCGCTCCACCTCTGCCACCCCCCTCTGCCTCTCCCTCCACTGGCTCCCGATTGCCCAACGCATCAAATTTAAACTCCTAACCCTGACCTACAAAGCCGTTCACAACACTGCCCCTGACTACCTCACCAACCTGATCACCAAGTACCACCCTACCCGTACCCTTCGCTCCTCACAGGACCTCCTTCTATCCTGCTCCCTGGTCTCCTCCTCCCATGCACGACTGCAGGACTTCTCCAGGTCCTCCCCCATCCTCTGGAACTCGCTGCCCCAATCCCATCAGACTGTCGCCTTCCCTATTCACATTCAGGCGCTCCCTCAAAACCCATCTCTTCAGGGAAGCCTACCCCACCCTCACCTAACGGCCATCCTCCCTCATTCCTCCCACCACTTGATCCCCCTCAGCCACTTCCTACTGTACCTTTACCCCCTCCCTCCTAGATTGTAAGCTCGTAAGAGTAGGGCCCTCTTACCCCTCGTACGTTGTTTGTTGTTGTTGTACTGTGCCATGTATTGTCCCCCCTATTGTACAGCGCTGAGCAAACCCTTTGGCGCTATATAAACTCGTAGTAATAATAATAATAATAATACATTTGCTAAATACCGCCAGCAAACACCAGGTGATAACGAATGTGCGTGTCTTTTTGTGAATTGACTTTAATTAATTTTATGTTTTATTGCAGTATTTATCTCGCTGTTTTAACAAACGTGTGCTGTATTTACCTTACATTCAATATTTTGTTTGTCTTCACTCTTCCTACCACTCCATCCCCCACAGCTATCTCCTCCTGTGCCACCATCCCCTCCCTCCTAGATTGTAAGCTCGAAAGAGCAGGGCCCTCAATCCCCTCATGTTTTGCATTGTATTGGTATTGTTCTGTCACATGTTTTGTCCCCCTTTGTAGACCTGCTTAGGTATAAAATTTGAAAGAGCCCTCATCACTTTGCCTGTTCAGGGTTTTTTTAAGGGCCTCTCCTGTCTGTTATACTCACATTACTAGCGTTTCTGCACCTCTCCTGCCTTCACTGCTGTAGGATGGAAAACACTTCTGGGTATGGGAAAAGCATGAGACATCCTCCCATTGACAGTGAGAATACATTACTACTCCCCTTACCCACCAACACAGAATACACATTGAATTCCAGTGACAACTGTCACAGTGTCAGGAGCGGCACTGGATTGCATGTAATGTGACTTTAAAGCAGAACTCGACAAATCCCGGGCACAAGGTCACCATGGCCTGGCACCTGGGCTGTTGTCAGCGCCAGTGGCGTAGCATAGGGGAGCACAGGCAGGTGCAGCACATTGCCGGGCAGCCTGCAGGTGTCACTGCCATGTGTGTGAGGCTGGGGGTAGGGAGGAGCGGCACTGTGAGGGCGGGTTAAAGGAGGAGAGTGGTGGGAATGTGAAGGCTGGGTTTGAGATGTGGGATTGTACATTAGTAGGAGGGGCATGCCAGAGGAGGTGTGACAGGAAGTGTCCCTTGTGCGGCTCTCGGGGACACCTGCTGCTCTGGGGAGACTCTCAGCCTTACCTCGGAGCAGAAACTGACAGCTCAGCAATGGCTCCAAGCTGGAGAAGGTGATGCCCCAGGCACTCTGGTTCCCACCCTGAATGGGCTCAGTAAGGTCTGGGCAGCCCATGAGCCAGCTATATTCATGACAGCCAGTGGGGCCACCTATCTGTGCCCCATTAGTGCATCCACATCAGTGCAGCCTCATCAGTGGCCCCATCAGGGCAGCCTCATTGGTGCCACCTTATAACCACACATCAGTGAATTAAAATTACTTATTTGAAGAGAGTTTTTTTTTTTTTTTACATTGTCAGTCTTTTCTTTGTGTATTTAGTAACACATAGAAACCTCAGTGGTGATTAAAGTCTATTAAAAGAAACCTCTGTCTAAAAAGAAAAAAAAAAATACAGATTTAATTTGGGTACAGTGTTTGATGATTGCGCAATTGTCCTTTAAAGTGTGACAGCGCTGAAAGTTTATAATTGGCCTGGGCAGGAAGGGGGGGGGGAGTAACCAGTAGGGAAGTGGTTAAGAAATAAGAAAAAGGTTAATTCAAAGCAAATATGTCAAGCCCTGCTTTAAAGTGTTACTAAACCCAGGACCCTGCATCCACTATATCTGGTCTCCCACAGTACACACAACATGGAAGTGCAATTATTTTCATAAATATAAACTGCTAAAATACCTTTTCTCAGCAGTCAGAGCAATATCATGACTTCTATCAGTGTCCAGCAGAGCACTGGTGAAAGCTTGTAGGAGGAGTTTTCATTCTGCTCTAGGAGGATGCAGAACCCCTAAGCCCTGTCTTAACAGTGCTGATTGGCCCTCTGCTGATCACATGCACTCTCCCAAGAAAAAAAAAAACCTTTCTAGCAATACACACCAAACTGAGCATGTGCAGAGTGACTCCACTAGATATGTCTCATCAGGGGATAAGAAGGGGACACTGGAAGAAGGGGAGGATCAGAGAAGTCAGAATCAAACAGCTTTTTTACACAATACAGAGGATTAACCCCTTAGGCTTTACAATGAGTATAACAAGCGTGCTTTACTGCATATACAGACTGATTTTACTGTTGTGGGTGTAGTAACACTAACTAGGAAAGGCTGCAATGGGCAAATTGATGGTGAATTTATGGAGAAAGAGTGGTGCTAAATAGGTTCTGTTTGTACCTCACCTCAATGGATAGGATCCCAGCTATAGTATTTATTGGTAGTCTAGTTTGCATCTGGGTTCTGTAAAGTTTTAGGATTCAATAGATGCATATAACACATAGGGATCTATGTAGATATTTTTTCACACAGCTTTCACCAATGATTCACAATTTTTCAACTAAATCCGTGTACAAACGTGGACATCTTAGGTAAAACATTTATAAATGGACCGTTCTTCTATTGTTAGTCTTCTCTACAACTGCTTTTATAGTTGCTGCTTCTGATATGTTGTGAACAACTTGTGGCATCTTGCTGCCATCTAGTGGCTATTCCCTGACTAGTGAAAACAATTTTCATTGTTATAGGTGAAAACCTACATTTGGTCATTTTACAAATTGTCTATACACAGCATAAAAATAAAAAAAAAAAACTTGTTTAACACATGGAATTTTTTTTTCTTGCTTTTTCCAGAAACCAGCACAGAAACCAACACCCAATGGGGTTATGAAACATCCATACCTAAGGTATACATTTTTGTTCTTTGCTTTAAAAAGTGGTACAGTGGTCAGCTATGGCAGCTTCGACATCTGAAAGTGCCAGTTACCTGGCTGTCATGTCAGTACATTGAATTAAGTACTCTTAGAGTTAGACACATATCTAGTATGCAGATCAGAGGTTCTGACTTCCCACTGACCTAGCTTGTTGCAGAATTGTTTTCAGTCAGTGACTCAATTATTAGAAGAAAGAGAGAGAGCCAAACAAAGATTTGATGGAGTGTCAAATATTTCTAGATCCACTTCATCATAGGAAAGTGCCAACATGTCAGACACCCCTTCAACTATGGTATGGTCAAACACAAAGCATAATAAAATGCACCAAGAATAGTATCTATACCATAAAAAATGATATATATCAACTAAAAAATTGTAAATATTCTTCCAAAACAGCAACTAATATTTATATATTATAATATTCTAAAATCAAAAATGTCTATGTGCTGTGTCATGAAAAATGCGTAAAAAGTAAATGACATTGAGAGAAGCTCTGGCCTGTTATGAAGAGGCCAGTGATGGCCTTCTGTAAGTTTGTGTGTGACTGTGTACAATGTGACGTATAAAATAATTTTGTACAGTGCTAAAAAAAATGCACATGATAAAGTTCACCTATCTTTCAGAATCCAGCATGCTGCAAGTGAAAAGTGACATAATAAAAAAGTGACATAAAAGTTCATTTATCTTCAAAAACGTATGCACTTTTATACAAAATCTTCTGTCTGTAACAAGGTGAACACCTCCAACACTACTCTCATACTGCTGCTCACAATACATTGTTTTGCAAGAGGCGGTTCTCATCTGGCATTTGTTTAATAGCCTTGATCCCTAGAGAAATGGATGTATTCTTTTTGATCTGTATGATATGCTGGCTAACAATTTTTTTTTTTTTTTTTTTTATGTGAGCATGTGAATTTATCTTCTGATGAAAAAAATGTTATATGGCGAGCACTAGATGTGGCTTTTTATTGTTTTGGGTGGACATTTAAATTGTAATTGAGCAGACTTTGCAGAAACGTGGATAAGAGTTTGAGCAACATACCTTGTTAACATGGAGGGTGGAAGCATGGAGTGATTTCTGGTTTGTGTCTTGATGCCGTTTTGACATCTTATAATTTGGAGGTCAAATCTAAGGTGAGCAGAATCACATACACGGGCGTGGTGGTGTTGGACATGGTGTTCACCTTCTAACAAACAGAAGATTTGGTATAAAAGTGCACAAGTGTTTGAAGATAAATGAACTTTTATGTCACCTTTTTATTATTTGTCACTTTTCACTTGTAACACATAAGGATTCTGGAAGATAGAAAGTGGACTATTTATGTGTAATGGTTAAGGACACAATTTTTTTTTTTTTAAAGGAATACACAGGATTGTTTGATACATCATATTGTTTACCTGTGGGTGATGCACAGATGTGTGCTGGCTTGCTATTCATATTAATGGACACAATTGCATGGACACAATTACATTTTTATGTTTGTGCACAGGTTCTCCTAGGCCAGTCTGGTGCAATGAAAATTGCACTTTTTTTTCTCTTGCTGTATTTTGTGGAGCAGTCAAGGCTGAGTTCAGTCTAAGGAGTTATCAGAGCATTCAATTCCAGTGGTAGAGGATCCTTTGTCCTAGCTACAAACCGGGATAATTTGCTGTACCCAGAGGCCTGGATGTCCACATCTGGAGTACCTGTTTCCCCATTGAGATTGAAGTATTGGGATGAAGGACCCATTCCCCTTGGCCCAGACAGTGATGGCAATTGTCCACTCCTGGGATGTAGACAGCAGCCAGGGCTGGACATTGCTTCTCTGTCCATGGGATAATCAGACTTCTAGTAAAGTTACCTGATATCCCCTTGGTGGTTGATATAGGTCACAGCCATTAAACTGTTTGATTGTACCCTGATCAGACACCGAAGAATGGGGATTCAGTTATTTTTGAGTAAGCTTTATCATTGAGTTCCAGAATGTTGATAGGGAGTTGGGTGACCATGTGACCTTTAACTCTGAGAAACTGGAACACTCCTCCCCAGCCTTCATGTCTGGTGTCTGTTCTTCCCCTCCATGGGTATGGTAGAAACAAGACTTCTGTCTTGTCAAGGCTGAATTGGAAATCCACCAAGCAAGGGAGTTCCTTGCTTGGCTATAGAAGTCCATAAGGTCAAGAGAAGGAGCGTGTTTGATCCAGGTTAAGATATTGCATTGGAAGGCCTTGAATAGAATTAAGAGAAGGGTACTGCCTTGAATAGAATTAAGAGAAGGGTACTGCCTTGAATGAGGCTACAATGAGTCCCAAACCTCTCAGAGATAATCTCAGCAAGAGATGTCTCTGTGATCTAAAGATCCAAGCATATGATCTTGGAGAATTTTGTTTTCTCGAAGAAAAAAAAAAAAACTCTTTGGCCTGGACTCAGAATTAGGCCAGAATTAGATCCCTCTATTCTAATTAAAGAGAAGGATGGAGAGCAGATTTTTGAAAGTTGATCACCCAACTGAGAGCCTAACGTATCCACGTACTCCTTTGGGAGTTTATGGATAGTTGAAAGGGAAATGAGTTCTTCAGAAGAAGGTTGTGTGGGTACCATGTTACCCGAATGCCCTGAGTTCTTAAGAGGGCAAAAAGTGTAAAAGTACCTTTTGTGAATACAGTGCAGTGGATTACCAAAATGGCAGTGCAACAAACTGGAAGTGTTTTTCTCCTACTGTAAAATACTGATAAGATGAGCAAATATAAATATGTAGATAAGCATCTTGGATGTCCACTGATGCTAAGTATTCTCCTTGTCTCCCAGAGGCAATAACCAACCTTGTGGATTCCATGGAAAAATGTAGAATGTGAAGCTACTTGCTTGGGCATTTTAGTTCCAAGATGGTACAATAGAATCATTTGAACCTGTCCTCCAGAGGAACTAGAATGACCACTCCCTGGGACAAGAGATTGTTTAGGGCGGCCTGCATATCTGACTGTCCCTGAGGAGATTTTTGGTTGGTTTGAAAGAGGTAAACTAAGAGGGAGTAGAGATTTTGCACCCCTTTGACAGCACCGATTGAACCCACAGGTCTGGGACTTAGAGAAAGGCAAACTGTAACAGATGTCTCCCCACTCTTAGGAATGAGGGGGCCCTTCATTGTGAAGAAGGTTTTGGGTGGATTTGGTAGGTTTTGTGTTCAAGTCTTGTTGCGAAAGGAAGGACTGAGTTTTTGGCTATGAAGTTGAAGCTTGAGAAGAGCAATGGAACATTGCTTTTTGAGGAGGCAGTAGCCCCTATGTTTAGGAAACTTTCATTTGTGGTAGAAGTATTTTTCCTCCTGTGTCACCTTTGAGCGATTTGTCTAGTGTCCTACCAAATTGGCCTCCTTTAAAGTACATACATGTGAGGTGACATTTGCAAGCAGCTTTAGTTGTCTAGGTGTAAGTTTCTGCACATATGGATAGAAATGAGAGCCATTCTGGATATCTGTGTAATGACTTTTTCTAAGGTATCGACACAAAGAGGAAGACCAGTATTTGCAAGTTCTCTGCCAAGGTTCAATTCTGGGGGATAGGATCCTGTTGGTTGTTCATTGCCCTAGTCTAGCAATGGGCAAACTATGGCCCGCGGGCCGTATACGGCCCGGCGGACCTTTTAATCCGGCCCGCGGAGCGTGATACATTGGCTGTCAGGATGTGTAGGCGGGGCAGCCTGACGAACGTGAGGGGAGCTAGGCTCCTCTCACAGTCCGCCCTGAAGACCGGAACAGCGCGGGATACATTGGCTGTCAGGATGTGTGTAGGCGGGGCAGCGTGACGAATGTGAGGGGAGCTAGGCTCCTCTCACAGTCCGCCCTGAAGACCGGAACGGCGCGGGAACACGGCGAGAGGAACGCGCGGAGCAAAGGTAAGTGAATTGACACAGGGGGGACTTAGCTTACTACTTGGGGGGGAATAGTACTATGGGGGATGAAATAATATGGGGAATGAATTACTATATGGGGAATGAATTACTATATGGGGGATGAATTACTATATGGGGGATGAATTACTATATGGTGGATGAATTACTATATGGGGGATGAATTACTATATGGGGGATGAATTACTATGGGGGATGAATTACTATATGGGGGATGAATTACTATATGGGGGATGAATTACTATATGGGGGATGAATTACTATATGGGGGATTAATTACTATGCTTACTATGGGGGAATATTACTATACTTACTATGGATGACACATACACATCATTCATCTACTCTTGGTCCGGCCCCCGGGTCCAATATATGAACCCATTGCGGCCCTCAAGTCAAAAAGTTTGCCCACCCCTGAGCTAGTCCAATTAGCTGTGGTTTGGCAAACAAAAATTGTAACAATAGCCAGTTGCAGAAATGGGCTTGCAATGTTACAAAGCTTTTTTGTGTCAAATTTTCTGTCAGCTGAAACCTTAGATAAAGGAACATTATCTATAGGGACAGTAAGATTTAAGACTGAGATGGCAGGGTCTACTAGCAGGACAATTTTTTAGTGAACTAATTTTTTTTTTCTTTTTGGGTGGTCATACATTGCCCATTGTATTCATGAATGGAGAATTTCTTTAAACTTATCTGGTCTTATATTACCCAAGAGAAAGGTGAGACAGAGGAGACTCAATTGCGACAATGCTGAGGCTTTTGTGCACAGTAGCAGTAAGCATATCTACGTTGGCAAGCATTTTGCATAAAGGAATTACATTATGGGTATAAGAGAATGGGGGTGAAAAATCTTCCGCAGCCTCGTCCTTTAACACTCTGGGTTCTCTTCATTTCCCCCAATGTGTATGTCCTTTCCAAATGCAGAGAAGACAGTGGGGGTTGAATAGGGCTTGTTGCTTTTGTGCCCTGGACGTTGATAGATGTATTAAGGCTGTTAGTTGTCCAAGAAAGTCCGATATTTCAGAAAAAACTGCCGTGGTCAAGTAGGCTGTTTGTCGTCTGCCGGAGATAGAGCTAGAATCAGATGCAGAGACCAGTGTGAAAATAGGGTCCTACTCCAGAGTTCACGCTTTGAGCAGGTGAAGTGATTTGCAGGCCTTTGGCAAAGTGACTGTTCACTTGAATTGGTGCTGCAGTTCCCTTGCACCTGGTTTTTACCATTGCTATCCATGATAGTATTCCCCTATGGGATACTTACAAGGTAGGGTGCAAAAATGGGGTAAGCATGCCCAAAGGAGTATGCAGCAACCTGGATGTAGACTGTTCTGTTGAGAAGTCTTTGTGGCAATAGACCAGAAGGAAGTGCCTGAGTACCCTATGAAGGGCTCTAGGTAAAAGTGGTGAAAATATTGTGACCTTGGGTGTGATGTTATACCTTAGTCATCCACCTGAGACGACTCTCTGAATGATGGAATTTTACCACCAAGTTTGAAAAGCTTAACATTACACAACTGAATACATTTCAAACAAAATTCTGAATTTCCTTATTGTTTTAACATAACAAATACTATTTTGGAAACCTGTAAATAGTGAAGGTACAGTACCAATCCAGTACAAGGTAAACCGGTTTTACCTGTCCATGTAGCTGGTCCCTAATTGGGGTCCAAAGAGGTCTTCAGGGTCTGGGTTACATAAGGATGGACTACAGCCCTTGACCTTTATAGCACCATGTGGCTATTTACACATGTTGCACAAAGTGCTGAGGTGAGCGCCCCAGCAGGATCCAGTGCCCAAATCAGCATTACAGATGGCCACCTTAGCATTATTGGGGCTAAACCTGGTGGTCATGTCCAGCAAAGATTTGTCTGTGTCTAGTCACCTGAAGATACCAGCCTATAACCCAGGGCCTATGTAAATCCAACCCACACTGTATAGATATGCAGTCGTGTTCAAAAGTTTGCATACCCTTGGAGAATTGATAATATACAGTACCATTTTAAAAGAAATGCGTTTTGCTTGCTTGCTTTTTTTTTTCTTTACTTATGGGATTCATATTTAACTGTAGGTCATAACAGAATGGCACAATCCTAAAACAAAACATGGAAACAAGTAAACAGATGAAATGACCCCTGTTCAAAAGTCTGCATACCTTAGTTCCTAATAGTGTGTATTGCCCCCTTTTATCATCAATGACAGGACAACATGCCAACTTATGTAATAGTTGTCTGAGACACTGAATTCTTGCAGGTGGTATAGCTGCTCATTTGATAAAATGCCCCCAGGTTATGCAAAGTCTTTGGTCGTCTTGCATTAACTACATGTTTGAGATATCGGAGTGGCTTGATATTAATGTCAGATTGTGATGGCCACTCCAGAGCCTTCACCTTTTTCTGATGTAACTACTGGAGGGTTAACTTAGCTTTGTGCTGGAAAGTCTAAGTGCGTCCCATGCGCAGCTTTAGTGCAGAAAGAATGCAAATTGTCTACCAGTATTTTCTGATAACATGCTGCATCCGTCTTGCTATCAGTTTTCAAAAAGGTTCCCTTGCCTACGCTCACAATACCCCCAAAAACATCAGCGAGCCACCGCCATGCTTCACAGTTGGTATGGTATTTTTGTCACTATAGGCCTTTTTTACCCCTCTCCAAATCTAGCGCTTATGGTTGTGACCATAAAGCTCTATTTTGGCCTTGTTACTCCAGATTACAGTGTACATTTCTGGTAACTTCACCATGCAGCTCATTTTGTTAAAGTATCCTTGTATGGTGCTCCTTGAAACAACCACACCGTCTTTTTCCAGAGCAGTCTTTATTTCTCAGATTACCTGTGGGTTTGTCTTTGTAACCCAAACAATTCTTATGGCAGTTGTTGCTGCAATCTTTCTTGGTCTGCCTGACCTTGACTTGGTATCAAGAGATTCCCACTTCCTAATAAGTGATTGACCAGTACTGACTGACATATTCAAGGCTTTGGATATCTTTTTATATCCTTTTCGGTCATTATAAAAGTTTCATTACCTTGTTACGCAGTTTTGACAGTTCTCTTCTGCTCCCCATGTCTCAGTATCTAGCTTGCTCAGTACATCCACATGAGAATTAACAAACTCATTTATTTATACACAGACCCTAATTGCAATTTAAAAAGCCACAGATGTGGGAAAGTAATCTTTAATTGCCATTTTAACCTGTGTGTGTGGGTGTTTGTACCAAGGCCAAACATTCCAGGGTATGTACACTTTTGGTCAGGGTCATTTGGGTGATTTCTGTTCTTATGATTTAAAAAGAAGCCAAACTACTATAATAATGGCTTCAACCGCCCTACTTAAAATCTTCAACGACCTCCTAACTGCCAAAGCCAATGGCCACTATTCTATCCTCCTGCTCCTCGACCTCTCCGCGGCTTTCGACACGACCACCCTCTCCTCCTTGCCAAACTGCACTCCCTTGGCATCAGGGACGCTGCTCTCTCCTGGTTCTCCTCCTACCTTTCCCAACGCTCCTTCAGCGTCACCTACAACACTGCCACCTCCCCATCCCCTCCCCCTCTGTCGGGGTCCCCTAAGGCTCTGTCCTCGGGCCCCTCCTCTTTTCCACCTACACTCCCACGGCTTCAATTACCACCTCTATGCCGACGACACCCAAATTTACCTCTCCACCCCCCCCCCCCCTCACTCTCTGCCCGCATCGCCCACCTCCTAAACGACATATCAGACTGGATGTCGCTCCATTTCCTCAAACTTAACCTATCCAAAACCGAGCTCCTGGTCTTCCCCTCACCCCGCGCCCCCCCCCCCCCCCCCATCCTCTCCATCACTACTAACAACGCCACCATCTCTCCCACCCCACATGCCAAAGTCCTGGGTGTCGCCCTGGACTCCCACCTCTCCTTCCTACCCCACATCCAACTGCTATCTAGATCTTGCAGGCTCCACCTCCGCAACATCTCCAAGATACGCACATTCCTCACCCCAGACACCACCAAACAACTTGTACATTCCCTCATCATCTCACGCCTGGACTATTGCAATTCCCTTCTCACTGGCCTACCCAAATGAACACTATCCCCACTCCAGTCGATCCTACACTCCACGGCTAGGCTCATCCACCTCACCAACCGCTCCACATCTGCCTCCCCCCTCTGCCAATCCCTTCATTGGCTCCCGATTGCCCAACGCATCAAATTCAAACTGCTAACTCTGACCTACAAAGCCATTCACAACGCTGCCCCAAACTACATAACTGACCTGATACTCAAATACTACCCTACCCGTGCCCCCCGCTCCTCACAGGACCTCCTACTCTCTAGCTCCCTGGTATCCTCCTCCCACGCCCGATTGCAGGACTTCTCTAGGACTTCCCCCATCCTCTGGAACTCCCTCCCCCCCCCCAATCCATCAGACTGTCACCTGCCCTCCTCACCCTCAGTTGCACCCTGAAAACCCTCCTCTTCAGAGAAGCCTACCCCAACCTCGCCTAACACCTGACCTCACCTAACAACTAACCTCCTCCACTCCTCCCACCACTCCATCCCCCACAGCCATCTCCTCCTGTACCACTTTCCCCTCCCTCCTAGATTGTAAGCTCGAAAGAGCAGGGCCCTCGAACCCCTCGTGTATTGTATTGTTACTGTCTTGTCTCATGTTCTGTCCCCCTCGCTACTGTACAGCGCTGAGCATACCCTTTGGCGCTATATAAATACTGTATAATAATAATATGATTGCTATCCTTAAAGCCAGTTTTTTTCGGCATAATCAGTCTTATTTTCAACTGTATATTTAAACAATATATATGCACAAGATCTTAGTGTTAAAAGAAAAACCTTTTTAGTGAACGTTGCTAACCTATGATATACTGTATACTATATGTGACGTTATATTAAGGAATGTTTCAGTCACGTTCACTAAAGAATGTTTTATATTTTGTAACAGGTTTTAAGCAAGGGGTCTGTACATAGTTCTGATGACACAATGCATGCTTTTCTTTGCACCATCACTTTTTCTATAATTATTTGGATTTCTTCTTTTACAGTGGAGAAAATCCATTCGCTACTGTCAAGCTCCGACCTACCGTCACAAACGACCGATCAGCACCAATCATTCGATAAGCAGAGCCTATTAATTTAATTATTTTTAATTCTTTTATGTATCTTCAGTTATGTAAAGTAATTGTTTCTGTTTCTTCATTGTTTTTGTGTTGATTGTGCAATGATTTCAGCTAAACTAAAAAAAAAAAAAAAACAAAAAACTTGGAAGAGACTTTCTGGAATATTGTATCAATTTATAAAATATAAAACTCAAGCTGTAATTAATCGCCGATACTTCCTGTAAAAATATATACATTCTGACTTGAAGCATGTGTCCTATTATGGTCCATTATAAAAGACATGAATTAATTAAGGCGTTGATTGGCTTTTTTTTTTTATCTTTTTAAATAAAGCCTATGATCATTTTGGAATCCAAAATCTATAGAAACTATATTTCTTTATTTCTGTAAAGGCCAGTGTTGGATATCTGAGACAAATGCACCGTTGGTTGGATACATGTAAAAAGAAGTTGTCTGCAAAATTAAAAATAAAAAGGGGAAATACATTTATTTACAGCCAACAGGGATCTGCTAATGGCATCATTGCTTTTTTAAATACACACTGCTTCCAGTGAAGTAGGTAATAAGAGTCAACAAAGCGTATATTTAAATCTCCTTACTGTTCTGGTAATGGAGTCATTTAATTTTTTGCGGTGCTTCAAGTAGGGTTATGGAACAGGAAGTCTGTTGTCTGGGGAATATAAAAGATTTTTAATCTCGGATGAAAAGATTAAATTAAAAGATAAAATGGTTCATTCTTATACTGCCCTTCATTTTTTTACAGTACATTTGAAATCAAATGTATTATTTTTATGCAGGCAAAGGTTTGCATTCTTTGATTACTGGCCTTTTGGGAAACTCACATTATTACAGTTTAGCAGTTTAACTTGAGGTATTGCACATTGTATCAAAGCTAAGATCTAGGTAAAACACTAAAAGCACATACCAAATACATATACAGGTGTACCTCGGTTTATGAATTTAATGCATGCCTGGGATGTTTTGTATTGCGAAAAATTCGTAAACCGAAACGCAGTCTCCCATAGGAATTCATTGAAAACCAAATAATCCGTTCCGGAGGTCAGAAAGGAGTTTAAAAAAAAAAAAAAGTCGCTGTCATTATAGGTCAGTGCCAGTTTATAAATGTAATTACCGGCTTTTTTTTTCTTCACTATAGCTCAGAGAATCAGCTGTCACTTCCCCCCAGCTAAAAGAAAGTAAGTTTCCTTTTAGTTTATTTCCCCAAGTTAAAAGAAAATGTTTTCTCTTAGTTTCCTGAGATAAAAGAAAAACAAAGTATTCTTTAGTTCCAGGGAAAGTGACAGCTAATTCTGTGAACTATAGTGAAGGGAAAAAAAGCTGGCGATTGCATTTAAAAATCGGCGCCGACATACACTTCGTATTGCAAAAAAAATTTGTAAACCGAGGCAATCTTTTCAATGGATTTTCATTCATAAACCAAAAATTACGCTAACTAAGGCGTTTGTAAACCGAGGTACACCTGTATTTACATAACTGCATAGGCTTCTCTGGCAGGAAAAAGGACCTGAGTTTTCTCTGTTGCAGTAAAGTAACACCTACAGATTCTGCCCTTCTAACCTGTGAAATGAGAAGCAGCAGACCAATGAGCTCCTCTTTCTTGTCACTCTGCTCTGTCCTCTTATGGTCCTTGTTAACATGTTTGCATGCGACAAACCTAATTGGTTCCCAGTTCTGCCCATCCCTCTTCCAGTCTGTGTGCTGCTGGATAGGGGATTGCAAGATGCTGATATCAAATACTTGAACAATCTCCGGTATTTACACTGCTTGCACCTATAGAAGACAAATTAATGCAGCTCTGTGTTTATGGATACAGTATGAAATATATTTTTTATCTGCCTGGAGTTCAGCTTTAAGCTTGCAATGTAGCAGTGTGTAGCCCTTTGCTTCATCCACTATGGAGGACAACAAAGACCCCATCAATGAGATTATTGGACAAAAGAAGTATGCGAGAAGAAACCGCTTTGTCGAAGTAACATTTTAGATCTATGAATGTTCACTGTTCCTGTTGATCCATTTTGAATTTTCCTTTTCAGAAGCCCTTTAAAGTAAGCAATGAGGAGCCTTTCTGTACTGGCTACACACAGCTGCTAATCATATCTTGACATGCCAGGTGGTTCATAAGTTTTAATTCACACGTGTCAGTATAAAAATGTTTATAATCGAATCAATCATTTTGCACAATAACCAATATCAACTAGTCAGCAAAAATCTTTATTCTGATGGGTTGCAGCTTTTTTTTTTTCCTTCAGTTTTGCATTTTATTATGAAACAAGCTAGTTTGCCTTTCTGATGTCCACATTTGTTATCCAATGTATACAGTTTATTAAGGAGCTATACAGCTTGCTCAGTCATCTGAGCCAATCAGGATAATCCTTCCTTGTAAGACAAAAGAGCAAATATTTATCAATACATATATTTTGATACAAATATTTTGCTATCTGCTAAATACAATTTATCTTATGAATGTAATGATCTTTTTCATTTAATAATGTTATTTTAAACATTTTCTTTATGTTCTGTACCATACTCACTCAGTGTTTAATGCTTCCAAGTGTCAGAGAATGACAGCCATTCAGTTAAGTTATTTTGATTGTTATTACATTAAAAGTGAATTGCCTTTATGTATAATATAAATATGTATATGCACACAGCCATGGCTTCCGAAAAAGAATATATATTTCTTTGAATGAAATCAGAATATGCCAGGTTGTAAGATCTTTAGAAATAATAAATATTCTCATACAAAAGTAGGCTGTGTCTGTGCTTTTATTATATAATGTGGCTAAAGGTCAGTAGGAAATAGATGCAATAAGCCTTTATTAAAGTGGTAGTAAACATGTTTTATAGAGAAAAAAAACGCAAGGCAATGTGTTAGTATGCATCATATACTAGCACATTATGAAAGACTTGCCTTACAATTAAGCCCTCCAGCGGTGCGCTGTCACCACTACAGACGTTTCTATCGTCACCCGGCCTTCCTTCCGGGGTTCGTGGGCTACGGCTGCTTGAATGGCCGAGCTGCCAATGATGTCACTCCCACACATGCACAAAAAATTAAAATATGCTTGATCCTACTAGGTCACAAATGTATTTGTTATATATCTCTTTAAATAGGGGAGGCAGCATACCACATAGGCAGTCATTTAAAAAAAAACAAAAAAGCAAAAATGTATTTAGCTTAATACCTATACCCAAATCACTTTTTCAACCATTGTATAAAAGTAAGAAAAAAAAATAGACATTAACATACAAAATTCTTCATTTATTAATTAAAATTACAAAGAAACACAGTCAAGATAACAGACCCCACTAAAAACCCTTAATCATTTTCCGGGATTCATATATCATATTTTAAATTAAAAACAAAATGACATGCCTGATGCAGCCGGGTGGGTCTGGCAAAATCGATCAGGCTGTGCAAGTCATGAAGGGACCTATTATGGATTCCTTACAAGACGGATAAGTATCACTCTCACGGCATTTGGGGACAATATGATTGCTTTGGCTGGATACAAGTTATTAAAAAGCCACGTTTACTAATTTTCTTTATATGCACCAGTTTTACAGTTTGGCAAATTAGTGTGTATGTATATGTTAATATATATATATATATATATATATATATATATATATATATATATATATATATATATATGACCTTCCCATGTCAGCCTACCACTGGTCAGCTCCTCCCTCTTTGACCTCTCCAGGACAACCTCTTTCCTTGCCTATAAGAGCAGCTGTCTCCCCTCACTCAGCATTCTTTTTTCGTCTTCACTCTGGACACCTTGAAAAATCTCTCTCCTATTTCCTTCCCAGGATCAGCCTCTTCTGTGTAAGAAGACCCCTCCTTTGGGCTGTAAACCTCCCTGTGCAGTGGGTTTGGTGCAGGGATTGTTATGCATGTTTTAAACATTTCTAAGGCGGGGTGACTTACTTGTGCATAGATTGGCTGGCTTGTAGTCCCATATCTCAGTATGTTGGTTCATATCTCAGCAGGTCTGTGGGCTGGCTGACACTTGGTAGTCCATATCTCAGCAGGTCTGTGGGCTGGCTGACACTTGGTAGTCCTTAGCTCAGCAGGTTTGTGGGCTGGCTGACACTTGTAGTCCATATCTCAGCAGGTCTGTGGGCTGGCTGACACTTGTAATCCATATCCCAGTAGGTCCGTGGGTGGGCTGGCTGGCATCTGGGGTTGGTAATCGCCACATTCATGGCATTTGTGTTTGTTCCGTGTACCACAGAGTAGGCTAGGTGGTACACGTGCTAAGGTGGCGGGTGCTGAACTTCCCAGGTTGCCATGGAGCTGCCGGGATGCTCTGTGACACTGGAAGCTACTGTGCTCTTCTCGCTCTCTCTAATAAATATATATATATATATGCGCCGGTGATGTCAAAGGCTGCTGCTCCATAGAACATCTCCTAAATGGTGAATGTTTAAGAGATATTCGTTTTACTTACAGGTAAGCTTTATTACAAGCTTACCTGTAGGAAAAAGTTACTATACTACCACTTTAAATAATAAAGAGAAGTATGGCCAAAGCTCTTTTTGCCCTATAGGCCACAGGAGTGAACGTAGTTATGCACTCCTGTGACCCAGGGCTCACGTCACTTATCTGGTTTAGACTCTGAAGAGATCCCAACTTGAATGTCTGGATCCACCCAGATTCCTGGCATCAGCACCGTACCATTTTTTTTTTTTTTTTTTTTTAAGCCGGCAGTTGGCTATCTTGTACAAGCAATCAGAGTGGCCAACTAGCTGCTCGATTTGTTTGTACAAGAAGAGGGAGGGGATGTCCCCTTCTGCAGCTGTTTTGGGATTTCTCGTCTCACAGGGAGTGCCAAGCTACCAGCCAGCGTATCCACTGGATGGCCGGAGAGCCAAACAAAGCCAGAATCTACTTTGATTGGCTTTCCCTTATAGTAAACCAGAAGCAATGCTCTGACATTACTTCCAGTCAACTGCACCATTTTTAAAAAT